TCGGCGTAGCATTCCATCTGCTTCGCCTTCTCCGTCTACCATGCGTTTTTAATGCGACGGAGCTTTCGGGTTAGTCGCCGTCGAATTTGGCGAAACTGACTATTCGTCCTCAACTTACTGGGGTCGGCAACATGTGCAGCAAATGCTACATTCTTCTCCGACACCAATGCGCCGATCGTCGCATTGTTCTCATCAAACCACTCAGTTACAGCTTACAGTTTGCGCCCCCGATGGTCTCCTCGGCAGCATCTGTCACCTGGTCGCGAATGTGGTGCCACAGATCGCCCACTGTGGCTATGCAGTCTACATCACACACTTGTGCAGCCATCGCCTCCTCTAGCTCAGTACGTTTCGCCACAGTACCGAGGGAGAAAATGTTACATTTACGCCTTCGATTCACATCGGGAGTGCAATACATAGATTTACGAAAATATATATACAGTTTGGTGCGCACCAATTTGTGATCAGTGCCACACTCAGCTCCACGCAGTACACGTGTCATGCGTACTTCACGCATATCACGCTGACGTGCGGTGACATAGTCGAGCAGGTGAGCGTGCCCACTCCGTTTGTGCCTCCGAGTTGTTATATCACTGGCACTCAGTGCAAACCGTGTGTTCGTGGTCGTCAGGCCGTCAGTGGCACACAGCGAGAGCAACTTGTCACCGTTCGCATTCGCTGAGCAAATGCCATGCGAACCGATAACATCTGTCCACACCGATGCGTCACGCCCAACGCGCGCGTTGAAATCACCCAGCAGAAATAGCCCGTCGCTCCTCGGCACAGACCGTATCACGGAGGATAGCTGAGTGTAGAATTGATCGCGCGTGTCATCAGGATAACACATAGTCGGACTGTACGTGCCGATAAAAGTGGTGAACTCATCTCTTCCGAGTTGTAGGCGAACAGTCATCAGTCGCATGTTGGTACCTGTTGATTCACCCACCAGCAAGCCATGGAGGCGATCGCATATTGCAAATCCGACCCCATGATCACGTGTTGCTGAGGCGGCGTTGCCCACCCAGTAGAATGTGTAGTCAGCACCTGCTTCATGCAACTTACCTTACTCAGCGAGCCGAGTTTCACTGAGAGCCGCAATATCGATGTAGTAGCGCGCCAGTTCCATCGCGACGAGTGCAGTGCGTTGCTCGGGGCGCTCACTGAAGTTCCGATCCATTAGTGTGGGCACGTTCCAGCATCCGATGCTGAGTGCTTTGCGCGCAAGCAGACGATTATGTTGGTGGGCAATTGCACCCGAGGTGGCGGTTGTGCTTCGGAGGTTTGCTTGAGGGACTCCGGCCGGAGCCTTTGGCTCAATATCCTTACCCACAATGCAGTGGGGAGCAGATCCGGCTCGGCAATGTGATTGCAGAGACAGTTTGGGATCTGCTTGACGGCCGTCACACGGAAGGTTTGAGGTATTGGAACGATTCATCTATGTTTTGCGACCGTAGTAGGAAATATTTTTCGTCGCAGTCAGCCGGCAATTCAGATAAGTCAACTACCTACCCGGAAAAGCACCAGACGGCCGTTTCGCCTTATTGGGGCTCGTGAGTAGTGCGCATCCTTCGTTCCTCTACGGAGGACCGAACCCATGACTGCTAGTGGCTTGTGCCAACTAGCCCGCAGCTTATGCAGCTGAGCCATGGAGGACGGCAGCCGACCATCACGAATTGTAGTAGGATACACCTGCGACCACGGCCAGACGCAAGTTGGTTTTGGCGGTTTTGCACCAATTTGACCAGGGGCTGCTTGGCTTGAGGCGGGCAGTAGCAAAGCATTGAGCACCCGGAGGAACCATTCCACCGTCAGTGACAATGCGTGGCGCTCGTGCTCTACGCCAATCGAGCTGGGATCTTAGAATCCGTAGACCTGTTGTCTCTCATGGCTGGGTTTTACGGGAATAGGGCCGTCGACCACTTCCTAACCTCCGAAGAGAATTGACTGGGATACTGGCAGTGCGCCCATACCTGACAGGAGAACGACTCGGATCCTCAGCCAAAGCCTTCGTTTAAATGAAGACCCGAAAGGCAGCGGGTCTGGCACATGGTCAGTTCACTGACATGCGGATTGGTGTTCTGGATCTTAGCAGGGAGAAGGGCGAAAGTCAACTCCCACCTAGCGGTCGCCACGAGGAGGCACCCAAGACATGAGCAAATGGCACAACAGTAGCAACAGTGGGTAGATTATCTGTCGGGATCAAGCCACAACTAGCCTCAGCGCACCATAGGCTCTCCCGCCGGAATATATATATATACATATATATATATATATATATATATATATATATATATATATGGTAACATCAAACTACTGTACAAACATGTGAACAGTCTCCGGAATGCGAAGCGTAGTGTTTCGCCACTCACCTCGGCAAATGTATGTGTTCTATCCTCTGAGGATGCAGCCACTAACTCGAATCTTTCGTAAATGCCTGGACGAACAGCAGGTTCCCAACATGTGGAAGCACGGTGGCATTACCTCTATTTTCAAGGGTAGTCGTTTTTCGAAGCCAGCCAATTATCGCCCAGTTGTTCTTCTCCCGGTGCTCTCATAGGTTATGATGTCGATCATAGCAACGGATCAACACGGATTCCGTCATTCTCGATCATGTACTACCAATCTACTCATTGCGCGTGGCAGTTGGACTGAAATAGCCCATAGCGGGACCGGTATTGATTTCATCTACCTGGACATTTCTAAAGCCTACGGCTGCTTAGATCATTGCATCCTTCTCCGACAACTGCAAACGTAAGGAATCGGGAACCCTATCTTCCTGGGGATCGGAAAGTCCTTCTTCAGCGGCGGCTTCGTATTCGGATTCGGGACTCGTTTTCGAATCCTATTAATGTGGACTGCGGTGTCCCACATGGGTCAGTGTTGTGGTTGCGTTTATTCATGGTCTTCATCAATGACCTCTCGCGTATCATCGAGTCGAATTTCCTGCTTTTTGCTGATAACGTTAAGAGATTGCGAGCGATCTGAAGTCAGGAAGATTACGTTCTGTTGCAACGAGACTTAGGCCGTGCTTTTGGATGGTCAAAGGCAAACCTACATCCGTTCAACGAGGGCAAGTGCAAGACTACCTGTACGCCACACACCCACGAACGCATATAAGCTTGGAGACCACATGTTGGAAACCGCCTCACAGGAGCGCGACCTATGGATGGTGATGGAAGTCGACGTCGGCTGTTCGGCGCAATCCTTGAAGGTGCCCAAAACCGCGAACCAACATGTTGGTCACTTGCGGAGGATGTTTGGGTGGTTCTCCCCATCAATCTTCCTTCAAATGCTCTATGCATATGTGAGGCCCCATGTATAGTACGCGATTCAAGCCTGGCTACTCTGGGTAAACGCGATCTGGTTGCACTGGATACCGCAAAGCGAAGGGCAATGACAAATGTGAAGGGATTGCTTCACCTGCCGTACTATCTGTGCTTGAAAGCTCTGAGAATGTACAGCGGAAGATATCGCTGTCTACAGGGTGACCTCATTCTGGTTTAACAGATCTTGAAAAACCCGGTAATGCTTGCCGTCACCTGGAAATTAGCCATATCACAAAATTGATCTATCACCAGTTGAAACTGACCACCCAATACAGTAGGCTTAACTGCTGCCGGAACTACTTTTTTCTCTAAGAATTTGTCATCCGTGGACCTCTCTTACGACTTTTGTCACTTTTGCATCAACACTATTCACCAAAGAACTACTGCACGATGCATTGTACCATCTGCATTACTCGAGTTGAATTCCGTTCATCGAAGGACGACAAGATGCAGACAAACATTGTGCTTACCGACCTCCACGAAATCGGAGTAAACGTATAATCATGTATGTTAACTTGGATAATCTGGTGAGTCCACAGATCTGCGTTTCACTTTAGTGTAACTGCATTTTTGCATTTATGTAATTCACCAAACCATCCCACAGGGCCTGCCAAGCCTTGGCTTTTTATCCATATGATATCATCGATCTATTGTCTTCACTGTGATCGTTATATTCAACCACTTCGAAGCGATGGTTTCACCTTTCATATATATATATATATATATATATATATATATATATGGATTGGCGGCATCCGTATCCGGATTTGCTTGTCACTGTGGCCTCCATGGGGACAGCCACAGGATACCTGCGCCTACAAAGGGACCATGGGTGGCTTGCACTGCACCGCCCACAGTTCCACCCACACACCCCATATCCGTTGTAAACCCGAAGGAATAAGACGTCGAGGCATGCAGATGAGAGCTACGTTTCATCAACAGAGCCGGCCCATAGTCCTTCAACAAGCAGAACAGAAGCATTCCTGTTGGGAATCATGCGTACCAGAAGTACACAAGGTGGTGTCTTGGATGTGTTCCGCTCCACAGTGGATGCAACCACTCTTTGTGCTTAGCACGGCCACGAGGACCGTGCACCCAGTCTCCTCCGGCAATGTTCCAGAGTCTTCTGGTACCAATGTAGACGAGGTGGAGGGTATCAGACAGATAGGCACTTTGTCAATATTCACATCAAGCGCAGCCACACCTGGGATATCAAACAACCAACGTAGAATGGAAGGATTTTGGTGAGTATTGTTGTTCGTCGCCTTCTGGCGCTTTTCCGGATAGCTGGTCGACATATCTGAATTGTCGACTGATTGCGACGAACAACAATAACCAACGTAGAATTTAATAGAAAATAAACGCGCTGTATTCGACGCGGGATATACAGAAGAATAACAGAACTGAGCAAATTAAACAAAGTGTAATACTTTTTATCCAGATTAAGAATATTTAACTTCGCACATACACACCTACGTGCATATATGCATTCACTGTTATGGAAAACATGCTGTGTTTTGTCACATTTCCCGATCACTTGTCCTTTTATTATGATCATACCTGTAGTGTCATGCCTCGCATTGTCGAGAACAAATAGTTTATTTATTTGCATGTATTTCTCACCATTCCTTCTATTTTCTACTCCATACCTTATGGTACTCTATGCTTTTTCAGGGCGCGAAACTATGCAAATATATAAAGAAACACAGGCTCTCCGAGGTGTTATTCACATTATTCGTTCTCATTTGGATAGCGACACGATTGATATACTTTCCATTTTGGTAAGTCTGTGCTTGTTGCTTAATGTGATCCAATTGTGTGTGCGATACTCCTCCAGCGACTGGAATTTAACCACGCACTAGTCTGCCCCCTGGTTTTTGTTTCACCCTACAAGGTGGATGCCAAGTGAACCCCCGTCAATCATGCTATTCTAACCTTGTCGTTAGTTTCCTCAATTTGCTCGATATACGGCTACGGGCCTCCGTTTGCGATGATCAGTTGTAGGCTTGCCCGAAACCTCACCCTAAGAGAAGATCCACGCTTATGGACATTCTGTACTACCTTTCTGTTGGGGAATTTAGCTCTCCTTGAGATATACAAAGCTTCGAGCTTAAAAACTATTGCAATCCCTAAAACTTTGCATGCCAAAGATATATATATATATATACATATATATATATATATATATATATATATATATATATATATATATATATATATATATATATATATATATCATTGGCTTGAGCTATTAAACTGAACCTGAAGCAGTGTGATTACGCAACGCTAACACTCACTCACTTAACTTACCTATCGCCCCTTCGATATTGGCCCCTCGTGGCCACCTTGATGACTTACCTGACCGGCTCGGCTGAGGCACGCACCATTGCATGTGCTGCACTTTCAGATGCATGATGCCGATGGGCCAGACTCCATCGATGCCAGCCCCTTACTCAGCCGGTGCTTTTCTTCTTGGTGCCGAATTGTTTACACGCTAACCCTGTGATCCGGAGGTCACTAGTTCAAATCCACATAGGTGCGGTTTACTCAGTTCATGCGCGATCGGTGTTGGTCGCGTTCCAGCGAATCCTCGTTGCTTTGTGCCGATGTCATCAAAAAGAAATTATTAGGAAATCGATTTTCTATTTTTTGTTTACTCGTTATTTAAGACTCGGGGTTGTGAACGCTGCAAAGAAGCTGTCTCGTTGATACTGCCTTTGCATCATATCCAGCTGTTTGTGACGGCATGTTGTTGGTAAGGTGTGAGCGCCTTGACCCTGATTGTTTGCTTAGGGCATTAAGGTTTTCAGGTAGGTCTCCCTTCTCTCCCTCTTATTATTCTTTATTCCATAGGTCATCATGGTTGCATGGCAGCGAAGCCTCAGTTCAAATGGACGATGTACTGCTGTTGATGATGATTGTCGTTTCCACATTTTTACGATTTATTTATCTTGGCGAGACTTGACAATTTCGTGATGTGGTGGTCGCCTGTCCCAATATTGCATTGGGTGACGGTTTTTTCGCATTCACTCACTCAAACCAGATCGTTCAACAGTTAAGGGACCAGTTTCCTGGATAACCAACGGCGCCCTATCTGCGGTATCGAGCAATGTGAATAGAACTGAGGATGTTACTACTCAGGCCCCGTCTTCTTGCACTTTTCCATCCTTATCGTCCCTCTGCAATTTCACTTTTATCCCCCGTTTTCTGTGGCATCTGTGTGAACCGAGTTCGCCTACTTCCTGTTTTCTGGTCTTACTGAAATCATTGCTAAACCAATCACTGATTGAACTGTTTTCACTTGTTCCATATTGCATGAGCTTCCAATCGCTTACTATGACACTAAACATCCTATTACGTTCTTTTGGTTTTATATTGTGTTCTGTAACCTTTTGTATCTCGTTTTTTTCTGTATATCTCTTTTTTGTATTACGGCACATTAGCTAAAGTGTGTATTGATGCTAATGATCTCTCGCTGATGTTTCCTTTATGTTGTTGCTAAGGTGTAGTCGCCTTGATTCAGAATGTTTGCCTAGGACATTAAGGTTTTACGCTAGGTCTTCTTCTCTCACTTATTATTATATATTCCGGGGGTCACAGTGCTTGTGCTGCAGTTTAGGCGCCTGCTGCTCTGCTACTGATGATGATGATGATGGATGATGATGATGGTGGGGATGAGGATGAATGCATCTACCTCTGCAAAAACACTGCTGAGAAGGACCGACCTATGCGGGTAACTTTTACCGATGAAACCAACCCGAAACTAATATTGCCTTGACTGAGAGATCAGACGGGTGCCTATCCGTCCGGATATAGATCCAGCTGATCGAGTCCGACTCAAAGACATTATCATCGAGCTAAAGTGACGAACCGGTGAAGTATAAAGAAACCTAAATATTGTAAAATCCTAGGTGCTTTCAACACGAATGTGAATTCGGGTAAATCGGTCGCTCGCTTTTCATGCACGGCCGGTGGTTCAGACCGCAGTCGGTGTGTATAGCCTTTACTAATCTGTAGTCTTATGAACAAGCATGCTGAGCTGTGTCACTTCACTTCGTCTGAGCGGCCACACTTGGGCTCGCACAGACATGGTAGAATCTTGGGCTACTCACCCGGGAAGATGAGCATGTGGCTACTCGTGTTTCTGCCTTGATATATATAAATGCCGACGGTGGCGTCTTGCTCTACGTCCGGTCTTTTCTGAGCGCCTACCAAAGCGACAATGGCGTAGATAAGCAATTGTAGTGTTCCAGCTGCCTCGTGGGTGCATTTTATCGCAATCTTCTTGGCCGTTGTTTGGATTGGTTGCTGAACTCAGAATCAACATGAATTACCTCCGTTTTCTGCTCGTGGGCGCTTTCAATGGTCCTCAAATACGCTGGCTTGAAGTTCAACTTTTTCCCAGATTTTGTGAGGAGGAAGCAAAGTTCGCTGACATGATGCATGACATTGAAGCGTCACAACACTTCTGCTAGCCGACGCGCTTAACATTGCGCTTAACTCTATCATGCCTAGAATTATTGTTAGTGTGAACAGCATGTGTATGGTGTTCACTTCTTGCAGCTACTCCTTTCTCGTTGCCAACATTGGCATGCGACTGCAGTATGCCCATGCACTACAGCTAGCTTCAAACTGCTGGAAACTGACTTCGACAGTGTGACTTTAGTCGCGAGTCAACTGAATTGATCTCTACCACAAACTGCATCTGTTTAAGCTTGGTGGTCAGTTATAAAGAGTGAAGTAAAATCACCAGGCAACTGGTTTGTACAAGATAAGTACCGGAAGACAAGTATCGGAAAGCTCGATCGGTTCCACGAGGAATATGGTAAGTTGGCGTGGTGGAGGCGGAGCCTCTGAGACAAATCCCTTGACTCTGGATCGGTTGACGACTACTAAGCGTATAAAAGGCAACGAAAATTTGCAACAGCACAAAACCGAACCATCGTCCACATTCCGAAGACCAGCTTGCAACCGCTGCAATGGCCGTCTCGCAGAGCATCCTTGTGGGTCAGTCTATGGAGCCAAAGGCTCCGGCCGGAGTCCCTCAAGCAAACCTCTGAAGCACAACCGCCACCTCGCGTGCGATTGCCCACCAACATAATCGTATGCTTGCGCGCAAAGCACTCAGCATCGGATGCTGGAACGTGCCCACACTAATGGATCGGAATTCGAGTGAGCGCCCCGATCGATCGAACTGGCGCGCTACTACATCGATATTGCGGCTCTCAGTGAAACTCGGCTCGCTGAGCAAGGTAAGTTACATGAAGCAGGTACTGGCTACACATTCTACTGGGTGGGCAACGCCGCCTAAGCATCATGTGGTCGCGGGGTCGAAATTGCAATATCCGATCGCGTCCATGGCCAGCTGGTGGGTGAACCAACGGGCATCAACACGCGACTGATGACTGTTCGCCTACAACTCGGAAGAGATGAGTTCACCACTTTTATCGGCACGTACAGTCCGACTATGTGTTATCCTGATGACACGCGTGATCAATTCTATACTCAGCTATCCTCCGTGATACGGTCTGTGCCGGGGAGCGACGGGCTATTTCTGCTGGGTGATTTCAACGCGCGCGTTGGGCGTGACGCATCGGTGTGGACAGATGTTATCGGTTCGCATGGCATTTGCTCAGCGAATGCGAACGGTGACAAGTTGCTCTCGCTGTGTGCCACTGATGGCCTGAGGATCACGAACACTCGGTTTGCGCTGAGGGCGAATGATATAGCTACTTGGACGCACTCTCGACTATGTCATCGTACGTCAGCGTGATATGCGTGAAGTACGCATGACACGTGTACTGCGTGGAGCTGAGTGTGGCACTGATCACAAATTGGTGCACACCAAACTGTACATATACTTTAGTAAATCTATGTATTGCAGTTCCGCCGTGAATCGGAGGCGTAAATGTAACATTCTCTCTCTCGGTACTGTGGCGAAACGTACTGAGCTAGAGTAGGCGATGCCTGAACGCATGTGTGATATGAAACGCATAGTCACAGTGGGCGACCTGTGGCACCACATTTGCTGCTTCCGAGGAGACCATCGGTCGTGCGAACTGTAAGCAGCTTGATTGGTTTGATGAGAACAATGTGACGATTGGCGCATTGGTGTCGGAGAAGAATGCAGCATTTGCTGCTCATGTGGCAGACTCCAGTGACTTGGGGAAGCAGAGTCACTTTCGCCCAATTCGACGGCGACTGACCCAAGAAATCCGTCGCATTAAAAACGCATGGTAGACGGAGAAGGCGAAACAGATGGAATGCTACGCCGAACGCCGCCAACACAAGGAATTCTTTGACTCCTTGAAGGCGGTGTATGGACAGAGATTGGAGCCGCTGATGACGCTGACCGATAGTAGCTCAGGCGCTACCACAGTAGACATAATGCAGATCTGGCGGAAACACTTCGACTGTCTCTTGAACAACCGTTCAGAGATCGACTAGCCTACATTGAACGGCCTGAAGAAGTACGATGTGAAGACGGGTCTGGCGGATACGCCGACACTGGATGAGACGCAGAGAGCACTTGCTCAGCTGCGAAACGGCAAGTGTGCTGGGGCCGACGGGATCCCGCCTGAAGTATTGAAACACGGCGGACCCGCATTGTTGACTGCGCTACACCACTTGGTGCAGCCCCTATGGATTGAGGAGGAGGTGCCTCCTGAACTGAAGGATCCCCCTGTGCTACCACTATAGAAGGGCAAAGGTAGCAAGCAATGCTGCAGGAATTATCGTGGCATCAACTTGCTGAGCTGTGTGAGCTCGGTAGTTGCCTGAATCCTACTTACTCGTCTCGTCAGTCATGTTGTGGAACCGAACGTGGCGGAAGAACAATGTGGATTCCGTTCGGGTCGCAGCA